GGGAGAGGCTAAAACAGAAAAAATAAAACAAAAAAAGAACAAAAATAAACAAACACACTCAAACAAATAAACAAAACAGACAAAAAATACTTCGTCATTCATAAATAAAGTTGTTCTATGCTATTTTCTTTATCTGAAACACCAACATGCAAACCAGGAAGTTAGCAAAATCGGATATCTGGTTCGGGCATGAGGGTTCGAAAAGTGCCACAACAATGTCTTCGGTCTGCTGATTGGACATATTATTATGTGTTGGAAGAACTAATTCATTTTTAGAAACAATTGTACCTACATTATGTGGAGTTTCTTTTTTGTCTTTTTGTGTTTGTTTTTTTTCGTGGAAAAGGCGAGGGGGGGGGGGGTTAGATTCAATACTTAGAATTTGAATATCGACAAAATGATTATTTCTCCAGTACATGCAACCTACACCACTATTTAAAAAACTGAAATATAAAAATAAAAATTGGGGTTAAATTCATCTGAACAGCTGACCCATGCCATGATATACTTTCTCTCAATTTGTCAGTCTTAGCAATATCACACGTTTGTATATTACGCACGTGTATCAATGTTTTAGGAAGAGGTTTGTGGCACTTGCAACACAAATAGGTCATATAAGTGCCGACAATTATGTATTATTATTTTCAAGACACACATAAAAGAAAGAGGAAAGATAAGGTAAACCGTTGTTTGACAGGAAAGATGAGGCGAACAGCACCAGATCACCCCCGCAAACCACCCACCTTGATAGAAATGCTTTTCCAAAAAGCGATTAGTATTCGTGTCGTTTTCTTTCAGAAGAAAATTAAAAATATCTCGGAGCATGTTTATGGATCTTAATATTATAATCCATATCCGGTTTCGTGTGTGGTTCACAGGGTTTGAAAAGGGCAACATCGTGATGAAGTGTCGTTCGTTCTTTTGCTTTTTCCGGAAACGTCAAGGTTAAAACTAAATTAAACGTTGTGGCCTATTTGACTTTTATACTGTTTTTTTTTTGGAGTGTCATCTGGATTTTCATGCGGAAAATTTTGACTTTACTTGCTATTCAATGAAACGTGTTCAGACCAGGTATCTCTTGGTGAAGAACGTATGGTGTTATGCAGATGAAGAAAAACCAGTACTTAATACAAGTCGAGAACGTTTTCGAGTGTTCTTGGGTGCGCGGGGCTATTAATATTAGTAAAGCGCACTGAGTGTGCTGAAGAGCGTGGATACATGATATATAAATGCATTAGTGGTGGTGGTGGTGGTTGTGGTGGTGGTCATGATGATGATGATGATGATAATGATTTATCAAATGCCAATTCAAGCTGTTGACATAAAATTATGAGGAATAAAATTGTACGGAAAATGGAAAAGGGAGTAGAATAATTCTGTGGGGGTATAATCAAGTTTTTCCAGAAAACTATTGTTCAAGTTGCAAGGATTTGGAAGCTGATATCCCCAGTGGTTAAGTGGCTATTGTCTACTAGTTCAGGTGGACTATCTAGTGGGCTCCTTTTAC